GTACAGAAATAACCAGAAACAGCAATATGATCTCATTGATTATATGCTATTGTTATTACATTAAAATAGACAATAGATACCCATTTCCTTTGTATTGGTAGCTCAGAGGTTAAACGCTCAACGGATTTAACAGTAGGCGAGCAACTTGGGTTCGATCTCCGCCGGCACTGTTGAAATCGTTAGTTGTAATTTTAAGTTTTGATTTACCACGTGCTCGGCAGTAAAGGAAAATATCGTGAAAAAGAAACTGTCTAAGGAAATTAAAAAAACTTTTTGAAAGTATGTGAAGCTTGCCAACACGCATTGGGGAAGCATGGCGGATTTTCCTTAGGATGACGTGATATTTATGAATTAGTACATAAATAATATTTTGTCATAAATGCTGTGGTTATTGAAGGATAAGATTTATTTTTAAACAAATTAATAGTGAGCCCTTTCATTTTATCAGGTAGTATATTAATAAATACGAACGCACATACAGATATCTCTTGGGATGTCGCTAAGGACCAGTCTTTGGGATCATCTCACTTTTTCAGCTTTCCTGAAAAGCTCTGGGTTGTTGCGAAAGACTATTATGGAAATTGACGGCTCCGCAGCGTAGTAGCTTAGCATTGAGTTGCGTTGCTAAGGGCCACGGGTTCGAACCCCTAGCGTAACAATTGTATTTTATATCGCCTACAAATAATTGTTCCAGTTCTGACTGTATGTCCTTGTGCATGTATCTAAACTGCCCCCACGGTACAGAATAAAATCATAGTGTGGGAGTAACCTTTAAAAACAACTGTCAGTCGTAGGACTGCGTCAGAAGTGAAAACTTCTTAGCTTCACAAATTTGTAAACATTATTTTTGGGTCGTTAAGATAATGTTATTAGGGAGTTTTTATTAGACACATAAACATGAAAAATAATGATTATTATCTGTATAATACAAACAACTTTATTTATACATATAAATTTTATACAATTTAATCAACTGGATTTTCAACATTACTTTCATAAATTGTATGTATTTAAGCGTGACGATCACGCGAGTTCAGTGCTTTTTCTGCATCTCAAAAGAAGTTGAAACTTCAAAAAAATATATAAGGTAGGTATATATGCTAGTTGGTCACCTTATTAAAAAATTTTTTACAACTGACTTCAGTATAAATTATTAAGATCAGACCTTGATCAAATTTATATGGGACCACATGTGAAGCACCAGCTTTCAAATAAAAAAAGAATCATCGAAATCGGTTCACCCAGTAAAAAGTTATGAAGTAACACACATAAAAAACATACAGTCGAATTGAGTACCGGCTCCTTTTTGAAGTCCGATAAAAATATAACGCTAACTACCAAAGACACTTCATGTAACTGTACTGTAGTATACATAATATGTACATACATAGAAGTCTTTGTGAGCTACAAGCAATCAGTGTTCTGCAATAGATCGGTGCTACTGTTCTCTCTTTTGTCGGATCTTTTTTAGACGAAAGTAAAATTCACTAAAATCCAAGAGATCTCTTTTAATATTATGTACAAATATAATATACAAATTTTTAGACTATAAATATAATATAATATATATCCCCAGTGTGGGATGCTACTTGCGTAGACACTCTGGCAGCCTCTCATCTCAGGGGTACCTCGTTTAGAGCCAGGGCGGCATCATAAGCGCCACTTACTCAGTTCAGCTGAGTAAGTGGCTCAAGTATGAATCTCTGAGGGATGACTACAGATTTGTGCCATTTGCTGTAGAGACTATCGGTCCGTGAGGTCTACGTGCGGTGAAGTTCCTAAAGGAACTCCATCCGCGGCTGGTCGTTGCTGCTGTTGATAAGAGGGCTGGTTCTTTTCTCGCTCAAAGACTAAGTATAGCCATTCAGCGGGGAAACGCAGCCAGCGTTCTTGGCACGATACCGCGGGAAGTAGGACTGTATGATAATTAAGTTACTAGTTTTAGTTTTTTTTTTTATTATAGTTTTTAATATTGTACATTATATTATGCAAATATTAACTTCTATTCTAATTTAATTAAAACTAAATATAATTTTAATAGTAATAATTATTATTATCGTAATGATACCTAATATTTCTTTTATTAATAAGTACAATATTATTGATATATTAAAAAAAAGAATTTAATATTATGATATATATTAATATCAATATAAAAAAGTTTTTTACTTGAACCACGAGTAATGGTTACAGGCATTATATTTTCCTATTTTTACAAAATAGTTCTAAAGTAGCTACTAACTGAAGATGCGTTTGTATTATTAAACGAATTCATTGTACCGTTGATGCCTTCAATCCTATGAGGTACACGCTCCTCTATTACGTGGGAAAATTCCCATAAACTCTGAGCGTGTCGGTAATTTTGTTCTTAACACATAATTTCGAAATAACAGTTATTATGTTTCTCAGTAATTGTATGGCGGATCCGTGTGGATTTAATTTCACGTTATCTAGTGCCAATCGCGTCTTGAATCATAAGCATTACCTACCTATCTTTGTTTACAGACAATAAAAAAAATTCTACAATGCCTATCATCTTAAATGTTGACAAACTATACTTTTAGCTTTTATACTTTAATTCATTTGAACAAATTGAACATAGCACGAATGAAAATGTTAATTGACGTTATAAGTATTATACTGCGTGCTAGCGGTTAAGAAAACATAGATAATAGAAACCTACATTTTTTTTATAGGATAAAGGCAACAAACGAGCACACAGTCCACCTGATGGTAAGTGGTTGCTGTGGCCCATAGACCATCTGCATTTATCCTCGATTACGAATCAAAACACAGATGCGTTGTCACCCGTGAGGACTAAGATGGAATGCCTCGTTTTCAGTTAAAAGGGTCTCCGGTTCTCTACACTCACCATACGAAACACAGCAGCATTAAGCTGCTATTTTACGCTGGTATTCTGTGAGAGCGTGGTCCTTCCCCGGTCGAGCCGACCCATTCGTGTTACAACTATACCAGAAATATAGCTGCAGCATGGCTCTACCACGTACAGATTATATGCATGTGTAAAAAATTAAAAAAAAAATTGTGATGGTAAAAAGGGAGATGTGAAGTCTGCCTACAAATCAATATTGCCATTGGGCAGCGCGGCAGTCTCTTTCTCGCTCTAAAATTCTTTAAGGAATGAGGGCATCCACGACTTTTTCTGCCACCAGGGTGGCGCCACTAGAAAGTGAGGTATAATATTTGACAGATTTCAAAGCGGGGAAGTTAATTTGGTCGGAAAATGTGAAGGTTATTGTTTCTTTCTGTAGGTACTATTAGCTATATTTTATATTAATAAGATTAAAAATAAATAAACCAAACCACAGATATTCATAAAACTACAAAAATTAAAAAAAGTTTAAAATGTGCAAAAAATTAGAGAGCAAACCACTGACGCATTGTTTTGTGTATTAATTTAATACTCTAGAAACTGATTAAACTTCAATTAACTTTACCTCAGGGTCAACTAGCGACATCTGGTGTACAGAAAATTATTAGCCCTCATTGGAGGAGGCGTGTCCATTAGTTACCGGTTCTTTACACTCACCACATGAAACTCTGTCCTGGGTTCGAAGCCCGGTCCGGAAGAAAAATCAGTTATTGAGTTTGAGTCAAGAATTACTCAATGACAGCTCAGAGTCTGGAAGTTGGTAGTGTTTCCCCGTCGTGCCTCGGAAAGTACGTAATGCCATTGGTCCTGCGCCTGATCTCTCTCCAGTTGTGTCGTATTGTTGCCCCATCGGACTATGAGAGTGAGAGAAAGAGTGCAGTTGTGCACTATCAATACGCATATAATCCTGTCCTGCACAGGTGGCCAGTCTAAATTGAGACTGGGCGCCGTCCGAAATTCGATCTGGAGGACATTCATAAGATAGGCAGGCATAAGAATGCCCATTTTAATAATAAAATACGAGGGTTGAACTATGGCGCCAAAAATGTTTAGACAAGTAATAAAAATAAACGAGTATAGTTGTAAACTTTGTGCTAACGCATTTATAAAACAAACTACTTACGGTGCGTATTGTATTATATCGGTGTATTGTTAACAGATTTGTTTTGTCACATACGTATAACAATCAGGCCCGTACCTACCCAGACGGAGCCCTAGACACAAAAGGTCCTAACATCTAGTAAAAAGTATTAGTAGTATTTTAAATCTATGTCCGATGCGCTTGCGGCAAAGATCAAATGTTGACTAGGTTACAGTTGATACGGGTAGTACAGTTATTATAAACAACTCGAAAACCATTGAAATATGTTGTCGTTGTAATTGCACCCGATTTTCTTCAGATTTCTTGAAATTTTGTGTATTGGCACAAATGTTGGCTTATGCTAAATTTTTTTAAATTTTATGATTCTTAGAAAAATACTAAGGAAAAAGGGCCATGTTGTTGTTATGCACACATACAATATGAGCACATATTGTATGTGTTCATAACAACCTTTTCTATAGAAGTAAGTGTGGCAAAGGAGAGGAAAGTCCACGGGATGGTAGCGGAAAACTCTGGCCCATAGACACGTACATTTATCCTCGATCAAGAATCGAAATGCAGGTGCGTTGCCGACCCTGATCTAATAATGCCTCGTTATCAATAAAAAAGAAGTCTCCATTCTCGCCATTCACTATACAAAACACGACAGCATTATTACGCTGGTATTCTAAGCGAATGCGGTTCAATTCGCGATCGCCGACCCATTGTGCTGCAACCTGCAACGTGACTCTACCACGTACTAAAATATAAAACATACTAGGATACCAATAGCGGTATCACTATCTGGTATAAACCAGAAGTAAATGACCCAGAACGGCAAGAAGGAGCAGGATCTGGTACTACACCAAACAGCCAGTCATTTCGAACTTTCTAATTGACTACCTGCCAGCGTGCCAATTGTGACCAATTCTCCCAAATGAGAGGAGCCCATTTCCAACTGTAAGCTATTACGGATCGATTAAGACGAAGAAAACTTAACATAGTAAAAACTCTTTTAATTTTCAGACACTTGGTGAATAGAGCGTTAAAGTCAGGTCCTTGGAGTCAGTCAGCGCGGCAAGGCCGTGGAGTGAGGACATTAGACCCTGCCTTGATGAGGAGGGCTTTGTTAGAGGCTCACGCTGGCTACGCTGAGGGAACAATAAAATTGCAAAGTGGGAACCGAACCGGTAAGAGATTTCACCTTTTACCTCTTTAAAGTATCCGTTGACACAGTAATAGATAGTACTGCGAGAATGCTGAGGGTAACAAGTGCTGCCCTCGGCTCGTACTTCTAGTCGAGCAAAGCGATGGGTGGGCGCTAGTTATGGTTGGAACCGTAATCCCGGGGCCCCTTCCACTACATACGCTGATGGTGCCCACTGTGGCTTTTGGTCGGTAGGTGTTCTTCATAACCCTTTTGTTGCATAAGGTATACATGAGAATTTCCCCTCGATAAAAAATCTCCGTAGAGACGGCGCCGTGGCCGAAATTCGGTTTGGAGGACATTATATTATAAAACAAGTGTTCAGTCTGAGTATAATTTGCATGCGCTATATACGAGTAGATATTACCTTTTTAATTATTATAAGCCAGTGCTTGACTAAAATTTCACATCAATGAATTTGTAAAGCTTTTGACCTTTAACCGGCTGCTAGTTAAAAATTAGTAGATATTTATTGATAGATCAATTTGATAAATGTCAGAAAAAAAAAAACAATTAATTTGTTCTATAATTTAATTCAATTCTACTTCGTTCACTCATTCTGAGTATCGAGAAAACAGCTGAAATCAATTAAGCTTCTTTATTGGTCCGAGGAAAGCAACTGAAAATTGTGCCATTTTATACACTATATTTGTATTTAAGCATAGTATTTTTAAAACAACTATCTTACGTGGTAGAGCCATGCTGCAGCTATATTAGCAGTAGGTATATTTGTAGCACGAAAGAGTCGGCTCGACCGGGGAAGGGCCGCGCTCTCACAGAATACCACCGTAAAATAGCAGCTTAACGCTGCTGTTTTTCGTATGGTGAGTGTAGAGAACCGGAGACCCTTTTTACTGGAAACGAGGCATTACGTCTTAGTCCTCACGGGTGACAAAGCATCTGCATTTTGATTCGTAATCGAGAATAGATGTTGATGTCTATGGGCCGCAGCAACCACTTACCATCCAGGTGGACTGTGTGCTCGCTTGTCACCTTTATCCTATAAAAATATATATACTCAGAATATAATTAATAACAATAATTAACTGATAGTATGTTTCCAGTCGAAGGTTTAACTGCTTAACGTCAAAAGACTTGAACAGTTAAACATAAAGAGAAACTGTTTAAATTTTAAATCTAGGACAAAGTGATAGCAAAAATGTGACAAAGAAAACAATAACCTTTTCCAAAGGTACTAAAGATAATGAAGAGAATTGCCTTACACTGATTAGACAAGAAGTACTTACATAACATCGGAATCGAAAAGGGCGACGTACCGGCCATGTTTAAATTTACATGAACTATTTCGAGCTACTTTCGATAATTCCAAAACTATTGCACCTACACACTTGCTAAATTATAAATTCAATAGCAAATAACGTAATTCATTTAGTTTTGAATCAATTGAAGAACTTTGTGCATTCCTATAGCTATGATTTAAGGAACTGCTATAGAGTTTGGCAGCGTTTAGATCTCAATTCTTTTATCGAAAACCTCAAACGTCGTTTGTACCAATCTTGACCTATGTTTACATTTTTTTTATTTATTTAAACTTTTATGCTCAAAAGAAAAACCGTACATATGGCGGACTTAATGCCTTAAGGCATTCTCTCCCAGTCAACCATTGGGCTAAGCAGAGATAAACATTTGGGAGGTAGTGCAGCAAAAGTAAACTAATAATGATTCATATTTGAAGATGAAATATCTGATTTATCGTTGCATTTATATACTTTTATTTACATAATTCTGGAAAAGTCCCCTGCTGAACATGTGCCTTGCCCTTTATACAGAAGAATTAATTTTCAACGTAAGAGGGTTCACCTAAATCGTTAGGCAGATGGATTGGCGTTCCCAGTACCAGATGTCCTGTTCCATTGACTCTGCTTGTTATTTTATTTTACGGTTGATAAAAACTGAATGGTTGATATCGCTATCTATCCGAAACCATGAGATTTTTCTGTCCTACATTTCATGTCGTTATGTTTTACAGGTCATGTGATTACCATAAAATATATTCTCAAGTACACCACCGTGTATATCTTAGTGGTATGCATGTCCTCTGAGTCACGGCACTGGTTATTAAATCATCTGCACATTCGTGCAAATAGCAGACCCAAAAAGTCAACGCTACACTACACTACACTTTCACCAAATAGTTAGTTGTGATGTAGCGCTAGATTGTAGATTGAATTGGCTATGACATTTGATTAACTGGAAGGTCAAGTCGCCATGAGGGTTGAAGACACTGACACTGGCGGATCGGTGACCGTCCAGTTCCCCTTCCCTTAAAGCCGCCGGAGCTAACTATCCCATATTGTAAAATATATATGGTTCCCTATCTTTATATATGTTATATAAAGGTAGGAAACGTTTAAATAAAAAAACTTGTCTGCGTTACCATTGTTTGGTTGTTGGGGTTTAGATCGGTTTTGTACATACTCAATGATCCGACACGGCATCGCACGGGTGATTTCCGAATTTCGACAACAGTGACACCTACCGGGTCCAATTGTGAATGTAAACCATCCAGGGACCCAATCAACACAAAAAAATTCATCAACATCGATTCGGCCGCTTAGGAGGAATTCAGTGACATACACACGTACCTACAGATGAAATATTTATATAAAGATATGAGAAAAGTTAACATTAGAGTGGTATGTAGTCACGGTTAAAAGTGTTAGTAAAACTTTAAACCTCAAAGATTTGTAAACAGGACAAGGATTTCTCTCAAGTTGTAAATAATCGTACCTATTCACAATTCACAACACAAGACTATGTGCTAACTACTCCCATTGGTTATAGTATCATCTAGGAGCCAATGTTACAAACTATGTTAGCTCTTACGACGTATGTCCCACGGTTTGTTTTTAAATATTGGAGTGACAAGTTAATAAACCATGGACACCTGTAACTTTATTCAAATGAAACCACAGTTGGGTTTGCAACCGTGAGGACTTACATTTACTAATGGTAAATACTTTTTCTGCTTAGGTGTCAGCCTGTGTAGATTTAATTATTTCTGCCGCCAATATTCCGCGAACATGGCGCCTCGGTTGTCTCTTCTCTGTTCTAAAATCCAGTCAGAAATGAGAGGAGGCCTCTGTATCTTGCGTTGCGACGTAAATATGCTGTTACTTTTTTACTTAGACATACGGATAAGCGACTCGATTTTATACTATTTAGTCTATATTTGCTTCTGAATAACGACGCAGAATTTAGTTTAATAACAATAATTGATAAGCAACTCTGGTAGTAACCACAATCTAAAGTGAAAGCTGGTGTGATTCATCGACCAATACGTGAAGCGAATAACTAACTGTATGACCTAAAATTTCACTAAATATTTCTTATCTACTTTATTGAAATTTTTCTTTGTATCGTGTTAGCTTGGGAGCTTTAATTTCTTGATGCACCATCAAACCGGAGTCGATTCGTCATTTAAATTTTAAACGCAATTTTAAGTTAATTTAGCATACGTGGTCATGGAATAGGTCGTGAGAAAATCTATATGTTTCTCAGTATCACACCTTAGCCCTCCATTTTTGCAAGTTAAAAGATAAGAAAACGCTAAAACTCTTGGTCAGGGTGTGAGTGTAGATTTTCTATTTTCAGAACAATCAATGCTTCATGTCATTGTGTGCTATGGACCTCTACCTGCACACGTCTCTTCCTCCCCTACACTCGTGATATCTTACTGATGTCCAAGTCTCTATTAAAATACTTAGTAAATATCGCCTTAATAAATACGCGCAGTGAACACTTTCCTAGTCCAAGAATCCAAGAGAGATTTTTGCTCAATATACACTGATACTTAATTACTTTTTCTTTCTTTGTAATAGGTAATAAAATATAACATGATGTTATGGTTGGTGCTTACTCCAACGCCTGGATGGAGACTACACATACTTTAAATTATTTACATTTTAATGAATAAGTTTTAAAAAATAAACTTGATTAATAAAAATAAAGTTACTTTCGAATAAAATCTCGAAGAATAGAGTAACTTTCTAGCATATTTTACGGACTTTATCCAGCTAACACTCCAGTATCTCAAACATTGTACTTTTAAACTGAACGAACTTTGATATATTCATTATATATATTTCATTCTGTATATATATATATATATATATATATACAGAATGTATTTGTATCTGGCGTTTTTTTTTACAATTTTTCTTTCTTTATTATCTACTGATCACAATGTATTCCACATATTATATTAATGTGCTCCAGACCGATTTTCGGTCACAGCGGCCAGTCCCAATTAGGGCATCCACGACTTTTTCTGCCACCAGGGCGGCCCCACTTAAAAGTGAGGTATAATATTTGACAGATATCATAGCGGGGAAGTTAATTTGTTCGAATAATGTAAAGGTTAATGTTTCTTTCTGTGGTATTCGCTATATTTTACATTAATCAGATGAAAAATAAATAAACCAAACCACAGATATTCATCAAAGTACAAAAATTTAAAATAAGTTAAAAATGTGCAAAAAATTGAAGAGCAAACTACTGAGGAATTGTTTTTGTGTTAATATAATACTTTTGAAACTGATAAACTTTTATTAAAAACCAAATTCTCAATTAAATGATTTTCTGTAACAAAAAGTTTACCTTGACCTTGAGTTGACACAACTAGTGACATCTGGTGAGTAGAAAATTATTAGCCCTCATAGAAGACTAGCCATCAGCACTGGAGTGGATTATGGTGTATGTGCAAGTACAGGTGCACTCTCTATTCCTCACCTTCATAGTCCGATAGGACGGTAATCCATCACGACCGGAGAGAGATCAAGCGCAGGATTAACAGCTTTACGTGCTTTCCAACTCCCTAACTTCGGACTGCTACGGAGAATTTCTTGACAGAAAATCCCATTATCTGATTTTAACCTGACCCAGGAATTGAATCAGTAAACCAATCGAATCGAATCCGAACACCGTGTAATATAATTTTTCTCAGTTATTTAATGTAAAAAAATTGTTTTTCCAGCACGAGCTAGCAACCTACCAGGGCTATCACCTGGTAACCCTAACGCTTGTGGAGGCGCCCGTCTATGTCGCACGCGGTACAACACTACGGCACCGATGTACGGTGTCTCGCTGACGTCTGGCCAGCCCGTCACTATCGTGCAAAAATTCCCTGATTTGTTGCAGCAGGTCGTCTTTGAAGTGTGCGAGTGAGTATTTTTCCTAAACATAAATAGAACTTGCAAAAATACTCGAATTCAATTTTTTTTTATAGAATATGGGTGACAAATGAGCACATAGTCCACCTTATGGTAAGTGGATGTTGTGGCCTATAAACATCTAAATTTATCCTCAATTAATAATCAAAATGCAGATGCGTTGTCACCCGTGAGGACTAAGATCGAATGCCTCGTTTCCAGTAAAAAGGGTCTCCGGTTCTCTATACTAGCCATACGAAACACAGCAGCATTAAGCTACTATTTACGCTGGTATTCTGTGAGAGCATGGTCCTACCCCAGTCGAGCCGACCCATACGTGCTGCAATATAGCTACAGCATGGCTCTACCACGTAGTGCACGGTCCAAATCTTTCGAAGTTTTAAACAGAATAAATTGTTTTTTTTTTTTTGTTACAAATGTAGGAGTGACAAACGAGCACACGGTGCAGCTAATAGAAAATGGATGCTGTGGTCCATAGATACATACATCTAAGGCTAAGAATCTTTGTCACTCCCGATGTTTCAGATGAAATGCCTCTTCACCAGTAAAAAGAGTTTCTGTCCGTTCCGGCCGGGTTCATGTCAGTATTATGCTGAAATTTCACGCCGCTTTTATACCCCGGTCGAGTCCATCTATTCGTGTTACAGCCATAATACACCAGCAGAATGTCTTTTCCAATATTTTTTGAAATGCATACTAAATGTTTATGTCGTACTAAAGTTTGTGAAAATAATTGCTAAATGAATTTGGAAATAACATACAACATGTCCTCGATTACCGGCATTCTAGCACATCTCAGTTACCTTAACGTACATCGGGAGTACATCGTACATAAGAAGTACGTGGGACCTGGGTAGATGAGGGCGACTTACTTATTAGTACACATCTATATGGCCTTCCCATTATTCGGGTATTATTACCGTACTTGAATTGACCATGGAGGTAATCAGCACACGATGTAAGAATTTCCTTAGGACTGGAAACATACTGCAGCATTCTAAACGTAGAATTAGCTATAGATGTCGGTGGTAATCTCAGAACTCAGTTCTAACCACTTTTAACCCTTTTTTACTGGAAACGAGGTATTCCACCTGAGTCCTCAGCACCGCATTTGCATTTTGATACTTAATCGAGGATAATAGATGAAGATGTCGACGTGCCACAGCGTCCATTTATAATCAGGTGGATTGTGTGCTCGTTTGTCACCAAATTTTATTTAAAAAAAAAAACTTACACGATAATGTGCAAAATATAAATTATTAGACATATTATGCGATATTTTTAACAATTATTGTTTCTTTTTTAATTTCAGAACAAGTGAATGCTCCGTAATTCGCGGTTCGTGTACGCAAACCTACGTACCCTATTTATTCCTAGTGCTGCCCCTTGGACCGGTGACGCTCACCGGTCAGGACTACGTTTTGGTCGAGTCCGGATGCGTGTGCAAACCGGATCCCGTCTCTTAGACATCACCAGTTTTTGTTTAGGCTTTAATTCTTGACGGATCGGTTCGGGGCTTTCACGTTATGTGTTAAACCGTATATTTAAGAAGTATGTATGTACTTCATTAGGGAAATTAAAATAAAAGTAGCAAAATATATAGCAGCAGGTCTATTTAAAAAAAAGGCTTTGGCTATGATATTGTTTAAATTATTGGTTTTGCAAACATTTTTTAACTTATTGAGATGAAAACGAAATATTACCTATGTTTTGAAATTCTGATTTAAAATATACATACCTATTTATTACCTATTAATTATTATTTTAATCAGACATTGGAATAAATTTTATATAGTATGTCTTTTTCTAGTTAAAATAAATATCTATCATATATCAAGGGACCATATTGCATTTATTAACTGTAAAATCGCCGAAAATCTTCACAGATCGATTTGTCGGCCATTTTATGGTGTGCTTTTTACATTGTAAATCTTTATAGACTGAATTTATTAATGTTAATTTATTATTAGATACTTATTTATTTTTTGTGAGCGCCATTACGGTGCGGTGTGGATATTTATATAAATATATTCTTATTTTGTGTTAACAAATGTTAATATATTGAACAACGAATGTATCAAAGATTTAAAATGAATAAGTTTTGAGTTTTATTTTCCCTTATCAAAGAGTATACTTACGTACATTTTCATCCATAAAACACTGGTCATTCGTTTATTCTGTACTCATTTGTTTGATCTAGCAAATTTTACATAATAAAAAGTTTGTATATCTATACAAACTTTTTGTTTTTACATGCCGTGTAGTGGCGGTCAAGAATACCACTACCCCATATCCTCCCGTGGGTGTCGTAAAAGGCGACAAAGGGAAACAGGCAGGAGATGGGCAGCAGCATCTTCCTGATAATAGCCAATATTACAATAAAAAAACTGCGGTTGCCAACCCGCTCGAATATGAATGTAACAAAGAGACGGCCCCCAGTCCCCGGCGGCCCCGCTATTCCTGGCTACGGTGGCGACCATGGTAACGGCGGGGCAGGGGGTGCTAAGAATCTCCGGTGGAGGTTCGGTTGCCACCTTAGACGACTCGACCTGGCAACGTACAACGCACGCACCCTGAGGACTGACGAGAAGATCGTGGAGCTGGAAGAAGAGATAGACAAGTTGCGCTGGCATATTATAGGATTATCCGAAGTCCGAAGAGAGGGGGAGGACACGGTAATCCTCGAATCCGGCAACTTGCTCTATCACCGGGAGGGCGACCATCTGTCCCAAGGAGGTGTCGGATTTATCGTCCACAAGTCTCTCGTTAACAACGTTGTAAAGATCGGGAGTGTGTCGACGAGGGTTGCGTACCTTATACTCAGAATCACCAAACGGTATTCGCTGAAGGTCATACAGGTTTACGCACCAACCTCGGCACACCCCGATGGGGAGGTGGAGGAAATGTATGAGGATATCTCTAGAGCCATGCATTCATCCAAAACCCAATATACGGTGTTAATGGGAGACTTCAATGCAAAACTAGGCACAAGAGAGAACGGTGAGCTGAAAGTAGGGAAATTTGGAATAGGGCAACGGAACCCAAGGGGCCAGCAGCTGGCCGACTTCATGGAGAAAGAGGGACTCTTTATGATGAACTCTTTCTTCCAGAAGCGGCCCCACAGGAAGTGGACCTGGTCGAGCCCCGACGGTTCGACAAAAATGAGATTGACTTCATTATGACGACCAGACGACAACTGTTCAGTGATGTCTCCGTGATCGCGAGGGTGAAAACTGGTAGCGATCACCGAATGGTTAGAGGCACACTGAACCTAAACGTTAAGTTGGAGAGGTCTCGTCTAATGAAGTCAACGCTCCGTCCCCCTCGTGCTCTGTTCCAAAGTCCCGAAACCTTTCAGCTCGAGTTACAAAACCGTTTTCAGTGCCTAGAAGACTGCAATGAAGTGGACGATATGAATGACAAGCTCGTGGAAACTGTCCATGCGGTCGGAGCTAAGTTCTGCAAGACCCGCCGCAGAAGAACACAAAAACTCTCCGATCACACTCTTAATCTCATGGCTGTTAGACGGGAGATGAAGCTACATTCTTCAACAGACTTGACAGCATACAGGCATCTGAACAGACAGATCTCCAAATGCATGCGGCGGGACTTACGCAACTTCAATACAGCTCGTATTGAAGAAGCGATCGAGCGGAACCAAGGCTCCAAAGTCTTTGCCAGAGATCTGTCTGCCAGAAAGAGCCACCTGTCAAAGCTGAAGACAGGATGTGGCAGCATCGTTTCCGGGACACCTGAGATTTTGAGTGAGATTGAGAGGTTCTATGGGCAGCTGTACACGTCATCGTTGGAGCCACACGCAAGTGTGAGTAACGATCCAAGAGCGTGTCTCATCCGACACTATTCCGAAGATATCCCGGACGTCAGTCTGAGCGAGATTAGAATGGCTCTCCAGCACCTTAAAAACGGTAAGGCCCCAGGCGAGGATGGAATTACAGCGGAGCTTCTGAAAGCGGGTGGAAGACCGGTACTTGAAGTCCTTCAGAAGCTCTTTAATTCCGTCCTCCATGGTGGCATTACACCGGAGGCGTGGAGCAGAAGTGCGGTGGTCTTGTTCTTCAAGAAAGGTGACAACGCTCTCTTGAAGAACTACAGACCGATTTCCCTTCTGAGCCGCGTCTACGTGCTGTTTTCGGGAGTCATTACGAATCGTCTCGCGCGCAGACTTGACGACTTCCAGCCTCCCGAACAAGCCGGTTTCCGAAAGGGCTTTAGCACCATAGACCACATACATACCCTTCGGCAAATTGTACAGAAGTCCGAAGAGTACAATTTGCCACTATGTCTGGCGTATGTGGACTATGAGAAAGCCTTTGATTCCGTCGAAATTTGGGCGGTGCTGCAGTCCCTTCAGCGGTGCCAAGTTGACTGTCGGTATATCGAAGTGTTGAAGTGCTTGTACAGTAGGGCTACGATGGCTATCCGAGTACAGAACCAGAGTACGAAACCTATCCAATTGCAGAGTGGTGTAAGACTGGGTGACGTCATATCCCCGAAACTTCACCGCTGCATTGGAAGACGTTTTCAAGCTTCTGGACTGGAAAGGATACGGTATCAACATCAATGGCGAGTACATCACTCACCTTCGATTTGCCGACGATATAGTCCTTATGGCAGAATCGCTGGAGGACCTAAGCACGATGCTCAATGACCTCGATAGTGTTTCCCAACGGATAGGTCTTAAGATGAACATGGATAAAACAAAGATCATGTTCAATGTCCATGTCACACCTAGCCGGTAGTTGTTGGGAGCACTAAGCTCGAAGTTGTTGACGAGTATGTTTACCTGGGACAAATAGTCCGACTAGGTAAGTCCAACTTCGACCGAGAGGTCAATCGACGGATTCAACTCGGCTGGGCAGCGTTCGGGAAGCTACGACACATCTTCTCGTCAGACATACCTCAAAACCTGAAAACGAAATTGTACAACCAGTGCGTGTTGCCAGTGATGACTTATGGAACTGAGACGTGGTCCTTCACTGCTGGCCGTATGAGGAAGCTCAAGGTCGCTCAGCGAGCTATGGAGAGGGCTATGCTCGGAGTTTCTCTGCGTGATAAACTTAGGAATGAGGATATCCGCAGTAGAACCAGAGTAACCGACATAGCCCAACGGATTAGTAAGCTGAAGTGGCAGTGGGCCGGCCATATAGCTCGAAGAACCGACAACCGATGGGGAAGAAAGGTTCTCGAGTGGCAGCCTCGTACCGGTAGGCGAAGTATAGGGCGTCCCCCCACGAGATGGAGTGACGACCTGGTAAGACATGCAGGAAGTCGATGGATGCAGGTGGCTCAGGACCGTGCTTTGTGGCATTCTTTGGGGGAGGCCTATGTTCAGCAGTGGACTTGTGGAGGGCTGTAATGATGATGATGATGATGATATCTATACAAATAAATAACATTGAAGTGTCTTTTTGTAATGTCATATGCACCTAGCAAAAAAAATTTTTTTGTTTGTCTTTTTGTTCCGGCTAATCTCCGAAACGGCTGGACCGATTTTAACGGGACTTTCACTGAAAAATAGCTGTTATTATAAGGAGTAAATTAGGCTAATTCTATTTAAAAAAAGAATTAGGGTTCCACGATAAAAAATGAAAACCCATGAAATTCGTCAATCGTAATAAATTCCACGCGGGCGAAGTCGCGGAGTTCATCTAGTTTATAAATTTGAAAATGGAACACTTTTTCTCGTATGGTGAGTGTAGCGAACCGCAGACCTTTTTTTATTGGAAACGAGGCATTCCATCGTAGTCCTCAAGGATGACAACATCTGCATTTTGATTCTTAATCGAAGATAAATGTAAATGTCTATAGGGCATAGTATCATCCACTGCAGGTGGACTGTGTGCTCGTTTGCCCCCCCCCCCCCCCCCCCCAACAGCATTAAAAAATCTATTATTTCATATAACTTTTATGATTTAAACGATTTCTTCGTGAGAATCTAGGGTGAATTCACTTAAAATAATAAAAATTCCGAGGCAACACTCAATGTTATAAGTGTTAACGACTAAAAACACTAGAAGGATAAAAATGATATAAAGCAATAAAAGTTAAAAATTTCTCTGAAGGCACGGATCTGCACCTCGAACTTTATTAAACGTAATACAAACTCCAATACAAAATTGATCTTTACAAATAAAAATCACTGTAGTCAATAGTTATAAGTATCTTACACAATAGATTTTTAAAAATTTTCATGACTCAATCCTTAAATTTTCTAGCCTACAGACTACAACAGGATACATTCTACTTACGTGCTATATAACATGTAATAATAATAATGCCTTTAACTAGGTATTTACAAATGTCGTTCATAAATAAATTTGTGAATAATAGGTAACTAGAAACAATTGAGGCGATTGTAAGCTTGTTAAAAATTGCAATTAATTTTTTATTCTTTCAGTGTGTCCATTGTTTTTCATTTACCATAGTTCAGTTCACCATTTGTACA